CCCAAGCTTTCACAGGGGGCATGGCAGGCCTGCAGACACCCCTGCTGCACTGCAAGCTGTGTGCACAAGGTAGGAGATTTATGAAGGAGTCTGCCCTGACTGCCTGTCAAAAAAACCCTCTCGTGGCCAAAGAGATCCTTTTTTCCAGCTGCATTCAGCTCAACTGAGCATACTTCTGAAGGGGATGTCACTGAAAAGCCAGGAGAGGCATGAATTTTAATGAATGTACTGGGTTAGCCACTTGAGATATTCCCAGCAGTGGGATAACCTAACATTGGAATAGCTAGCAAGAGCTAAAAATCAGGAGGAAGAGTCACCATTCGAGATCAAACTTCAGAAAAAACACAGCACATGATTTCTCTCCTGTAACAGCGTAAGTATTCAAGAAGAATGCGCTTGGGTTATATTATTTCTTCAGATGGAGCTCCAAGACAGTATTTCCCCATATCGAGTATCATCGTGTCAGGGTAAGTGGTCAAAGATCAATCTCTCCCAGCCAGACTGAGAACATCTGGAAAGGCTGTCTTTAAAGAAGTAAGAGTATGAGAAAAAGAAGCTAAGAAGCAGACTCTGTCTTGATTCACATGAACATGATGCTGTGGTTCTACAGGGGCACAGTTTTTCAGAGCAGTTTGCATTAATATCCATAGGCCTGGAGAAGCTCTGGGTACAACTGGATGGAGAAGATCTTGCAAGACTGTTTGAAATTAAACTACATGAAGACTGTTGAAAGTGATTCAAAATCTGACAAAAGCCAAAAATGCTTCTGATGCTGCAAGGGACTGTGCAGGTTGGACAGAGCCTTGGGCAACATAGTTCAGTGTGTGGCATCCCTGCTCATGGCAGGGGGTTGGAACTAGATGATCTTAAGGTCCTTTCCGACCCTAACTATTCTATGATTCTATGTTAGGCATGCAGCCTGCAGGAAAGACAAGCCATACCAACTGACACAGACCAAGAATTCTGTCTTCATAGAACACAGCTACCAAGGGGATGTCACCAAGAACTGCATGAGAAGGAAGGACTAGTTTAATGTGATGGCATTTGGAAGTTATTCTCCAGCCTAACGCAAAATCTCCATACTCAGGTGTAACATCCAAGTGCTGTGTTGTGAAATGAATTCTGAATAATCAAAGCTGAGTAAGCAACTGAAGAGACAATTGGAAAATTTATGTTGGCTCAAGTTCTATGAAAGTGACTGACTCAGTCACCCTGAATTGACAGGAAGCAAGAGAACAGATTCTAAACTGGCCTCTCCTGCAGTGGAATCAAGTAAATTTAAGGCATGAAAATCATGTGTTTCCAAATGCGTGGATAAATATTTTACTACAGCTGTTTTGGGGAGTTTGCTGCATCTTCTCTGCCCTTCAGTTTCAGTTCCAAGGAAAGTATCTGAAAAGCATGACTCCAAAATAGTCAAACAGCAGCTCGCAGGTTCCAGCCTCCAACCTTCTACAAAGTTCATTGCCGTACTACAACTCCCGGATCCAACAGCTCTGCTTCTCCTACAGCCAGCTTGCATTAAAATAAGCCTGTGTAACATTAAAAGCTTTAAATAGTAGTATTCTATGGCAGGAAATGGAAGAGGTGGTCACCATCTGTAAAAGCATTTTTTTAAATGCTTTTTTAAATGCGATAGGATCGGTCCCAATAGGAACAGGTCCCTGAGGAACTGATCTCCACTTGGTCATCAAGCCATTGATCACAACTCTGTGTGCAGCCATCCAGCCAATTCCTTATTTACCAGGTGGTCCGTCCACCAAATCCATGCCCCTCCAGTTCAGAGACAAGGATGTTGTGCAGGACAGTGTCAAATGCCTTGCACAAGTCCAGGTAGATGACGTCAGTAGCTCTTCCCTTATCCACCAACGCTTGACCCCATCACAGAAGAAGATCTAACCGATAACAGCTTCTGGCAAACTTTGAACCCAACCACAGTCTTTGCTTGGCAAGCATGTCAATAATGAGAGGACATCCAGTTCCTGATTATTTTACTTCCACATTGTGAAAATCAAAGCAGTGGTAGGGCAGAGCACTATGGTTTTGTTGGTAAGTCCTCTCTACTCTCACATTTCTGATCAAGCCACAGAATGACTTCAGGAATGTCACCATTATATAAACAATTGTAATTACAAAAAACTTACTGGATCTAATTCCTCAAGATTGCAGAGATTAATAAAGAAGCAAAACAGGACTTCTGGAACATGTTGGAAGGCAAACACCACAGATTACTGCACAAACTCCTGAGGAACTCTGGCCATCCGAAGTGTTCACAGGGACCACCTCACATCTTGCAAAAGCAGCGTAGCAGAAAGCAGGACACTGCTCCAAGACACTTCTCAAAAGGGTAAAAATGTCACTTAGGCCATCATCAGCCCTACTTCTGAGAGCAGCTCTAGTTTTCCACTAATATTTCCTACATAAACTGACCCAACTTGGATATGCTGAGCATACACTGGACAGAAAGGCAGTAATAAGAAATCAAGAAATTCACAGAAGTAGGTGCAAGACATGGAACCACTGGAGGAAAGTTGTTGACTGGAGGATTTCCAGCGGGATAGACAGAAACCTTGTTGCTGTAAAAAAAGCTAGGTTTACATTGTCAAAGGGTGGAGGATATATGGCAAAAGCCTAGAAAGGTCAGAGCATGCCCCACTGAGAACACAGAGCAGGCCACAGAAACACTGAGCCTCACCAGCCCATGCCCTCCAATCAGTAGGAATGACCAGTTGGTGTTGGTTGGTGTCATGCACTGTTAGGACAGCTACAAAGACACCAGCAGCTCCTCTAGTAACATAGACACAAGTAGGAAGTTCTACTCTTCCACTCACAGTTTGTTTTTGTGAGGGTTTTCCACGCATGCCACACACAGATACATGCATCGAGATAGCAGTTAAGTGGCAAAACCAAGAAGGAAATTCTCTCAATACAGTCCCCCTGTGGTGATGAAATCAATAAAGCCAAATAGCACGTGCACACATCTTACCCTGCTACTCCCATCTTATTAAGTGCATAGTATGGATTCAGATGAAAACCATACTGTGCTCTCCAGAAACCTTTTTTCCTTCATTGTAGAAGTTGAAGGAGGTGGGGAGACCAGGGTGCTGCAAAGTCAGGCACCAATCTTTTAAGCTATGAATTAGTCTTCCATGCCTCTAATTTGAGAATCAGAGAATATTCACAGCTCACCAAATGAAACAATCAAGATGTGTTCAGACATAAGTGATACACAAACGTTACGTATTCTGAAACATTAGGTCTTTTTCACTTGAAAAACAAGACTCTTTAAAGGTGGAAGATCTCTTTGCCCTAAATTTCCCAATTCTCCATCTGCATAAAGAAGTGCCCTGTATCACCTTTCACCTCCAAGAGCTGGAAGGAAGGAAGGAAAAGAAGAGAAGAAGGCTACATACCTGGCACAAGGAGATTTAATAATACTGTTTTCAAAGCCAAGTACCAACTGCATGCAACAAGGGAAGGAGAACCAGATTCTTAAAGAATTAAAATCACACATTAACAAATATTGGCTCAGTATGCAAGCACTATTTCCAAGGACACTGGAAGTGCAACCCTTTAAGAGAGAAAAAAACCCTATATAGTTAAAAGATGATATATCATTACGCATGACTGCAAGAGGTGCAAAGAAAGATCATCAAGTTCTCAAAAGAAGCTAAGTAGTGTTCTCAAACATGGTTTACATACAGCACAATGGTACAATGTACAATGGTGACAGAGTAAGTATGTTGACAAGTTTGTAACAACGCATGCTTTCATGCTGATTCCCAAGGAATAATGCAATTGAAACAACACTTAAAATTCCGTACCTTGATTATTTCCACCAACTGATCCACACCACTGTCACCTGGAAAGATTGGTTGTCCTAGTAACAGTTCAGCCAATACACAGCCTGCTGACCACACATCTAAAAAAGGGAAAGTAGAGGGAAGGGAAAGATATCAGTAAAAGGTCAGTAAAAGGTACGTATTAGGCAATTTATATAAACCCCAGCAATTTTAAGCTTACTTTATTCTTTGCCATGTTTAATAGAGTATTTAACACAGTTAAAAATAAAAAACATTCCTCTCCTAAATGCCTATCTAGAAAACAGATACCTAGCATAAAGCAACAGTGAGCAGTCTTAGAAATCAAACCATGAGACAAAGAGGACTGGGAAGGAATGTTAAGTGCCATAATGTATTGACATGAAAACTTACACATGTAGCAAAAAGACGTGAGAACATCTGCCATCTGAAAATTAGGAATTTTCCCAAACCCTGTGTTGTTTTTAGATCACTGCTCAGACAATGGCTGGTTTTTACTGTTTCTGACTGCTGAATAGACTCAATTTTTCATCCATATACTGAAAGCATGTATACAAGCAGCAGATGAACCAGTGCTGCAAGTATCACTTGTATCCTGCAGTACATGATCCGGAGACAGCCTCTGTAACTCAGTCACACTAAAACCTAATCTTTATGCTAATTCCATTTGCGGGGTTGGCTGGATAGCAGAAGTACAAGTCTAGATCAGGTCAACAGCATCCACAAAAGAAGCCATCAACTAATGTTCATACATGCACCAAAAGCCACAAGTAGTCATTAGCAGCTAGTCCTCTACATGAAGAAAATTTGCATTAACAATTACAGGTATATCTTACATAAAAATAAGACCATTACATACCATAACAGCAACTTAAGAATGTATCTAAATGTACTACAGAATATAGCATTTTATTTTTGAAAAACGGTTCATTTGAATGAAAAATCTAATGAAGCAAATGCAGTAAACGCTGCACAGCAGATGTTTGTGAGAATCTGCTGGAACTGCATGCTAAATACTGATGCTCAAGCTGCTCAACACAGCAAAAGTATCGCCCCTAGATGCAGAGATAACTGCTTCTCTAAAACCAGGTTGACTATTAGGCTTTCTAAAAAGTCATCATCTGTTCAATATACATCTGAAGCCTTACACTAAAATCCAATCTCAAACAAGCCATCAGTTTAATGGAAGATTTGTAAAGCCTACAATACTGTAATGCCCCAATGAGAAAAGAACAAAACCAGTCCCCCTCCACCCATCTTTCTTTGATTCCATTTGGAATCCTTGCCTACTTTTAGAGCTAACCTTCCCCCACAAAACAACAGTAGCATCACCACTCAAAACCCAGACAATTTACCTCCTGAGGCCTGTTCCAGCCTGAGGTAACTCACACTATGACAGAGATCCTTACTCCTCTACTGTATTTAAACTATGCCACTGGGAAGCAGGATTCACATAACACTGTCAGTTACGGTTGAAGGCCTGTGTAAGGAAAATGTCTCTGACAGTTCTCTAAACAGTCTATTATGACTTTGTCATAACCATTAGAGATTGATGCAAATAACAACAACAATAATAATACACCACCAAACTTTCAGGATATCAAGATTGATAACAAAATAATCTGTTAAAACAGACTTTTCCTTCTCCCATTTCTAAATGAAAGAGAGAGGGACTATGCAAAAATACCTTCCCCATTTCTCAAGAAAGGCATGGTTCAATTGGAACATACAGTGAACAAAAAGCACTGCTCATAACTGCAGCTTACTTTCTTAAGGCTACTAGTGCCTTAGTACAAACATCTCATCAGGGTTTATCCTAAAACTACCTATAATACAGCAGCCAGAAATAATGCAAAGTTTGAGTCTTGAATATCAAAAAAGCAAACAGACCAGATTACACTTTCTGATCTTTTAGTCATATTTAATAAAAGCTAATATGGCCACTGACACAACCTCTTTCGGACAACGAAACAACATTCAATTGCATCCAACTGCTAAACAACATTCCTCCCTGATAGCCCCTGCTGCTGGAGCAACACGCACAACAAAAACATGAAGCAAAGAATCACTTTTTATGTCATCCCATGCACAGTGAGTTTATAGGAAATCACACAACAGTTCAACAGGTAGCACAGATTTCATCTGAAGTACTGAAGAAACAAATTAAGTGTACTAAGCAGGCAGAGTACTGTAATTCAGAAGTCTATCTAAAAGCACCTTAAAGGGACTGGAAAAAGCAAAGTCCTTTACACCAAGTATACAAAACAAATGGTACCCCAGAGCTATAATGATTATTTACAACTTCAATCCTTATTTTGCACTGAAAAAGAAACAACATATGGGAAGGAAAAATATTTGTCAGCACATACTCTCAGTGTCAGCGCTGGGCTGGTATAAGTCAGCATTCACAACTCACTCCCTCTAGAAATGTTGATATGCTAGCATGAGTCTTTTCAAATTAGACTGCGGCTTTTTAAAACTGTTTTAAATGACCTTCTGGTCTGGCTGCTCCATGAAGTTGGCTTTCTGTTGGCTTATCCCTTCCCAGGCTCCCTAAATGCCTTTGCACTCCCCCAGTCAATTTCAGTCAAGTCTGAAAGGCCGAAGACTCGAATCCATTACTGCAGTTTTGTAAAAACAGCAGGGAGAGCGTGCATCAGTGTTGCTGCTGAGGAGAGGAGGGCTCATCCCTGTGGGATATGCCAGGTTTGCCCCCCACCCTGCCAAACTGCAGCTGCCAACAAGCTGAAGGATGCGCAGGTCCTTGCTCAAGCAAGAAGGCCAAGCAGAAACAGCAGAGGGTACATGAGACAGCTGAGGGCATCACAGGGAGACAGAGGAGAAAAAGACAGAATGCAGGTAATGAAGATTGAGGCAAGGATGTCTGAGGAATACTTGCTGCATTTGCGATGGGTTTAATCCATCAAACTTACAACTCATCCACTGGAAACCTATGTAGTTTTTCCTTGTGCAGTGACACCTTCCAAATCAGGTAACCTAACTCCTTATTAAAAGTCTACTTAATTTTCCTTGCTAACACTTTGAGTGCACACTGAAATAAGCTATGGGCATTCTAAAACTCCCACCTTTTTTTCCAGGAGTGTAATTTCACCAATTTCCTAATTAGGACTTGGGCAATGTTCCCTGGGCAAGGAAGTGAACAAACCCCTGAAGCATCCTCAACAAACGCCAGAGAGCAGAGGCTAACTGCAGCAGCTCCAAGCAGGGATAGCAACAAAACACCATTTGCATAGGTGTTTCTACACCTCTGGTGAGCTATGTAGAGTAAGGAAGAAACTGGGAAATTTCAGCTCTGCTGGAACTTGATGGAATTTATGCCATCGGCTTTAAAAGGACTAAAATTTGGCTACAGGATGGTAACATTTTTCTCAAGCTTGACATAAACGATGTAGTACATTCTATATTTAAAGACTCATTACTTAAAAGAAGTGATAAGGTAACTCATATCAGTTTTTGATAGCTCCTTCCCAGACCCTCTTCTGCCTTAGCACAGTCACAGCTAAAACTATTATAGGTTAATAATCTCTCAGAGCAAGCTTGTAGTCCAACTACCTGCTCCCATGGTTCTGAACTATTTCTTTTTAATATGTGCAATTTAATTACGGCAAAATATGACTATCATTCATGTGCTTTAAACTAGTTTTAAACAAGGTAAGAGAGAACTTTAAACAATGATTTGTTGATTGAAAACAAATCAACAAATCATCCTCAAGCCAAACTAGTTGGAACAATGTGAAATTTTAGGAAAAAATGCTGAAACCTATTAATTTTAAGCTAAAGAAAGTAGGCAAGGCTACTTTCTCCATACCTTTGGTGAGACATAGTCTAAATAATATGGACAGTAAATGCAATGGCCAGCCAAAAGCAGCCTTCAAATAAGCTTACTTCAGACAGAAGGATGGAAAGAAAAAGGAAGGAAAGAAGGGAAGAAAGAAACTTGAGCCTGCTCTCATCTTTTTAGTACAAATTATAACCTTTCCTTTATCTGACACTATTGGGCACGTTTACCTATGTTTTTTTTCCCCTCATCTATTTATCTCTGTCTCATTATTCCTTGGTCTTGATGGAATTTTGCTATTTTGGAGGTAACTCAAAGCTACTGCTCTGGAAACTGCAGACACAAAGCAGGGAAGAAACCAGGAATCAGAAAAGCAGCCCTAGGAGGTCACCAAATGCCAGAGCCCAAAGTGCTCTTTACTGCTGCTTGTATGGAACACTTTTTGGGGTGTCAGAACAAGAAGAGAGTTCTGGATTATGGGCACACATACTACATAGGTGCAAGTTCTGCATATTGAGCAACCACGGATCATGGAGATAGAATTAGGCTGAAACCTGAAAATGCTTGGAAAGCCATGCTTGTTCCATTGTTTGGAACAAAAGCTACACACATGTATCTCTATTCTGCAATGAAGAGATGAAACTACAAGGACAAGTGACAGAACAGTTCAGAAAATTAATGCACATGCTTATTTTCAGCACTGGAAGTTGCCATCCGAGACAGAGACAAACCCTTTTCACTGTTTGGCGACAGGTTTTGAACACACCTCGTGATGGTTCTTCCCCAAGAAACTCTGAGACAGCCCAAGTATGCACGCCTCCAGAGGAGCTTCTGCTCCAGACTGCTGAGATGAAATACTCTCTCCCTCCATCTCAGTGCTTGCTAGGAAAGTGAATGAATAACTTCATGATACCTATTTTTGGACACCCCAAGAAAAGCCAGCAATACATCCACGCAGATCAATCTTTCCCTGCCAGTGGCTATAAATGTTCCCTCTGGAACGCTCTCAACTCCCGCCAGCACAGGGACAGAGAAACACACGGAGACTAGCAGACTTTTGTTAGCCAGAAGCAGTTCCACGTTCTAGTGAGCCCTCCCTTGCCCCATCCCTAACCTAGGAAAAAAATGCACGTTATGGATGTAAAGCTTAACTGTGCAGCTTCTTTTTATACCAGAAAATCACGTAGCAACAGAAACATCTGCACCCACCCCTGCTCCAGCGCCTATGTTTGTCCCAGAACATTGTAGGGGAATGTGGGCAGCTATCCCATAGTTTTTTCCAGCAGGCAGCAGCACCCATATGACCAGTGCAGCCAGCAGCATGCTAGCAATGTACTGTGGGATGTCATAACACACACACAGATCTACAAGGAAGAAGCTCCAGCCAAAATGCTGCCAAGGGATTGCCGAAGGGCTTGGTTTGCAAAAAAAATCCCTCCTGCAAATGAGCTGCTGGAACAAAACTGTGTGCCATGCCCAGCAAGCCTGAGGGACACGCACGCGCTTGTAGAATTCATAGTCAAACATGAACGAAGGCCCCAACAGCACAAGCTACGAAGGCACCAATTGACATGAATGCTTGTGCCTAACCACTGAAAAATCACAGAATCAGAGTGGTTTGGGTTGGAAGGGAACTTAAAAGTTCATCCAGTTCCAACCACCTGCCGCGAACAGGGACACCTTCCACTAGACCAGGTTGCTCCAAGCCCCTGTGTCCACCCTGGCCTTGAACACTGCCGGGGATGGGGCAGCCACAGCTTCTCTGGGCACCCTGTGCCAGTGCCTCAGCACCCTCACAGTAAAGAACTTCTTTCTTATATTTAGCCTGAACCTCCCCTGTTTCAGTTTGACTCCATCACCCCTTGTCCTATCGCTACAGTCCCTGATAAGAGTCCCTCTCCAACATCCTTGTAGGCCCCTTCAGACACTGGAAGCTGCTCTGAGGTCTCCCCACAGCTTCTCTTCTCCAGGCTGAACAGCCCCAACTTTCTCAGCCTGTCTTCATAAGGGAGATGCTCCAGCCCCTGATCATCCTCGTGGCCTCCTCTGGACTTGCTCCAACAGGTCCATGTCCTTCTTATGTTGGTGACATCAGAACTGCACACAGTGCTGCAGGCGGGGTCTCACAAGAGCATAGTAGAGGGGCAGGATCACCTCTCTCAACCTGCTGCTCACGCTCCTTTTGATGCAGCCCAGCACATGGGTGGTTTCTGTGCTCAAGCGCACACTGAAATGGTTCACAATCAGTTTCTCGTCAACCAATACCCCCAAGTCCTTCTCTGCAGGGCTGCTCTGAATCACTTCTTAAATCCTTAAAGTCGTAAGGCAGGTAGACAACAGAACTGCTATGGGCCTGGATTTGTAGCTATTTGGCAACAGGGATTATTTAAGAACTTGAATAAGTCATTTCCCAGGTCATTATTTTAACAAGAGTCCCAGGTCTGCTAGATGGCACACACAGAGGCATCAACTGCAGTAAATGTGTTTTGATGCTGTTTTTACTATTGTGTATATTTAAATGCTGCACCATTGCAGTACTTGACAGAAAGTGCAACAAACACTACCCTGGCTCTGAGTTATTTTTAAAGGGACCTTTTGGGTTAAATTTAAGTCATGCACTTTCATGAAATAATCAAGATCCTGGAATTTAAATGCCAGTTGACAGTTCTGTTGTGACATCCAGGATGAAAAGACACATCCTGGAACCATCTTTAGTTTCTGCTAATTGAAGAGCAAGTTACGTTGCAAGGACAAATTCAGGTGTTAAAAGACAACCTAGATGAAGTGAGACAGCCTAATGCAAGTCCTGGTTAAAGAGCTAAACAAGATGACTAACTACTGAAAGGGTCATGATGCAAGCTGGCTGTACCGTCAGTCTTGGGCCACCCCAGTGTCACTGCCTAGGCTTAAAAAGCACTTCTTGCTCAGAAACACTTTCAATAATTACCATACTGCAGTGTTATTAATCATAAGCCCCACAGTAATGTTAGCAGACAACAAAAACATTATGAAAACAGTGGATGCCTTGCAGATAATGTACACACAGTTCTACGTAGAACACTCTGGCATCATATTCTTCACTTATTTTTCATGTACATTTAAGACAGTACATTTAAACGGAGTGAAGATCTATACCTTACTTGTAAGCTCAGGTTTTGTTACCACACACAAGTGGATTCTTATACAAAGAAAGAGACTCAAAAGCAGGAAAGAGGTGTTGTATTAACAATTCAGAAGAAAACAACTAGAGAACAGAAGCATGTCCATATTTTCAAGACAGGAAACTAAAGAGTTTCACAGTTCCCTATACTCTGAGCTATAAATAAAGTACTGATAATTAAATGTTCCTTTCTCTCCCTCTCTTGTAAGAAACCTATCAGTGCTTGTTGGTTGGTGTAGAAATAATGGTGGTTGCGTTTGGATGAGCAATCCTATGTGAAATGGGGAAGAGTTCTCATTAAGCGCTATTGCTGCCTACCTAACAAGAATGAAGGAATATCCTGGTATTTAACACCACTGGAAATAGCAGCATCATAAAACTAAACCCCTAGAATCTCCAGCATATTGCAGAACACCGGAAAACTGCAAAGTTTGTAATAACATGTTCGTACTTCTCACCTCCCAAAGGCAAAGATTCTCTTGAGAAGGAAGAGGAGGGAGGAAAGGATAGGAAGGAAGGAATACTTGCTGAACCTCACTTTCAAGCTATTTTGTGCAAATTTTAGGCTTGAGTGGGGGAATCGGGTTTTTCTGGGAGGGAACACAACAAAATCTGAACATGGACTGAAATTCATGATGTTTTTGGCAAATGGAAAATGGACTCTTCACTTCAGAATCCTATTTTTATTATAGCTGTTTTAGAGACCAGCAGATAAGAAAAAAACCAAACAACTGAAAGAGCAAAACTGAAAAACAGAAAAACAACAACCGAAAGAGCAACTTTAAAAAAGCTTTGCAAAAAAGTGCAAGATTAAAGTCATTATGCCTTTGGAGCAAGAGCAATTTACAGGCTTATCTATAAAGCAGTTGCTTGTGCTCACCTAAAGCACTCTTTTATGCACTTATCCCCTGGAACAAGTTGTCTCAGTGCATTCTGATAATGCAGCTGAGCCAATCTATTCGCTTTCAGCTGGCAAAACGATGTCGACCAGGATCAGCTGCCTTCCTCTCACTTTGCTTTTACCTGGGCTCTGCTGCTTATCAGACAACACAGTAATGCTGATTCAACTCACTCATGTAGCAGAACATTAACCTAACCAAATGACTCTTGTCAGCCAAAGTTGAATTGGTGTATTAAACAGTAAACTGGGAGAGCTAGGGTATTCAGAGGCAAGAAAGAGTAGGGCTGGGGCTTTCACTTTTGGCAGCAGCCCACCATTAAGTAAGTTCTGCCCTTTTATCTTTATTGTGCCATTACTTTTCCCAGCCTCCTTTTTTCTACCGGGGAGACACACAAGTGTTGCTACAATACATACTGAAGAATAACTAATGGAAAAAACCCCACTAGCAAGAGAAGGTAAGTCTTCAGGAACACTTCTTTTTTTCAAAGAACTGGAGTCAGAAAGAGCCAGCCAGCCTCTAACACTAGTTAGAACAGACAAACTCTAAACATACTTTAACTGGTTATAAACAATAGTCTGCCAAGATTTAATCATGATCTTCAAATCCTTTTGAACATATTAAACCTTGCCTAAGTGACTCAGGTCCATAAGCAAGGTAAAAGCTTAGCATAATACTGGTCAACTTGAGAGCCAAATCCTGTCTCTTCAGCCCTAGCACTCAGAAGGGGCCTGGGGAATATCTTGACTAAAAACCTGAAGTTACCCACAACCACCCAATACACTGCTGCTAAGTTTTACGATTTTTCATTTTGCAATTCAGTTTTAGGACTCCACTGTAAGAAAACCTGGCTGTTCCCTGTCCTCTGCCAAAACTTCCAGCTTCCCTAGTTATTTCCATGACACAGCTATGTGCCCTGTATTAGAAAGTAGTCTTCTTTATGGTCAAAATTAACAACTTGAGGACAGTAGAAGTTCACAGAGTAAGTCAAATCAGCAAGACTGCTGTACACTATACATTAAAGCTGGCAAGACTGTTTAAAGCCAATCATCAGGCCACATTTCCCCTCACCCTCTCTGCCACTAACAACTCTTTGCTAAATCCCAAGTAAGCAACATCACAGAATTATGTGTCTAAATCACAGCATATCAAGAATGACTATATTTCTATAATAATTCTTTACAGTTATTTTAAGTCATCAAAGTACTTTTCTGGCTTGAGATCTCATAGGGTTATGAGATCCCTCTACTTCTGACGTACATGGCAGAATTACCTGGATTTTTTCTTTTTTGTGTGAAATCAGATTTCTCTTAATACATTAAAAAAGCCCCTTTCCTAATGTAACTGACATGGAAATCTAAAAAGGCATAGAAATCACAGCAGCTGTCTACAAAATGTGAGTATTTCGTTAAGAAGTGCCACCTGACCATTTACAATAAAATTCTGCCTCTGAGGATTATATCCAAGTTCTCTGGAAACGTTAACCCTTAACTACAGAATACAAACTCATGTGGTTGGTATAGATTTTAACACACACACACACACACACACACACATACGTACCTATACTGGAGGTATAATCGGTGGCTCCAAAGATCAACTCTGGTGCCCTGTAGTACCGAGAGCAGATGTATGAGACATTAGGTTCTCCACGAACCAGCTGTTTTGCACTGTAAAGAAAACAAAATAATAATCTTTAAGTATTTAATAGTTGTACAGTATTGCAGTGCAGACCCACATTAAGCTGCTTTGGCACACCTCACCCACTCCAGTTCCTAAATACTGAAGTACCATGTTCTTCTAAGCTGATGAAAGCCACAAACCCAAATGATTTACCAAGAAATCAATCCAATCCACCAAGTAGCTACCTTACACAGGACTTAGCCAAGGAAATTGTGCCTACAGATTAGGTGATAAATAGATCCAGATTTTTGGCTGGCAGTTGTCTTTTGCCAGGTACAAAGGTTTGTTTACAAAGAAAAAGAGGACGGAATACAGTTTCATCAAACACAGTTCCCTTTTAAGGTTCAAAGGCTCTGGATACTCACCAGAACTAAGAGTGGGGTTTGTTTTGTTTTGTTTTGAACATTCCATCACAATATTCTAACTCTTTGATGTTTAAGGGAGTGTGTTATGAGGAGACATAGGAAAACAACTTTGCCATTGCAGTCACATGTTAATGTGCCACAATTCACATGAAGGCTTCATTTATACTGAAAAAGATCAACCACAGAGGATCTAACTTACAATATTGGCCCAACCGCTATTTGGAAGTAAATAAAGGAATAAAGGAACACAAGAGCACACTACATTCAGAACATGAGTCTATGAATACATTATACTTCTTTCTTAATTAACCCCATGTGTTAGACAGAAAGGAGCTGGAAGCAAATATGCGCTTTCAGAAATAAGACATTCAACTAAGTAGCACCAAACCCAGCAGAGTGGCAAGCCAGCCAGATCATACATCCAACCTTCCAGACATTCCTCTCAGCCTTCACGGAAGAAGGACTCCCACCACCCATTTAGCCTGTATTTAAAAGTCTCAGTTTTCCACTTTCTATATAGAAGCTACAATTAACAAATTCCCACTGTTTCTGTGTTAACACAGAGGAAGTACCACCTTTTTATGCATTGTTACTTTTGAGTTTCAGTACGATTCCCATTTCATTCCAACAATGGTGAGGTAGAGCTGGGGAGGAGATTCCCAAGCCACGAGGCATCACGATGCTCTGCTTGAATAACCACCATTTGACATTCCCACTCAGTATGGGCAAACTAATTTAGCAACAGCAGCTTCTGTGACCTCTCACACATATGCCCTAACTTATTTTAGTCTGCAAAGTTGTATCACAATCTGAAGACAGAACCTTCCCAGGGAGAAATCTGTCTCCTGTCTCAGTGTGGACTCCCCAAATTTCTGTATCAGTTCTAAGATGGGGGTCAGACTCTAAAGTGATTGACTTGAACAGAAACTGGAAATAAATGTGACACTGGAAATGAGGATACAGTCCACTAACTAAGAGCTTAAATCAGAATTGTTGTTTCTGATCTTGAGCCTTTTATGGTATTTGAAATATTAATTCAACTGGTGTACATACAAGTAGACTAATGAAGTGTACCGTTAGCCTTTTTAGGTTACTATGCCAATGTGCCTGTCCTTTCTTCCCCAAACACGTCACCCTAATATTTGGCTATATTTTTCCACAGTGCGGTATTTCACCTATGTGACAGTGTATTTATTTTTCTAATACCTTCATAAATAAAAGGCTTGAACTTAAATTCCCCACGTCTTGATATCCTTTTCTCCCCCCTCTCTCAGATGAACTCATTTTGAGAGGAAAACAAGAGTATCAATAGTTTTCTCTTCCAAAACTACAGATGAAGACCTCCTGGGGAACACAGAGGATTGCTTTGCAAAGTTGTACTCAGGTTCACTTTAAAGGAAGCTCTTTTCACCAAGTTTCAGGCCACAGATGCACTTACCTTCCAAAGTCGCAGAGTTTTAGAACAGCTGTATCAGGGTCCAGCAAGAGGTTCTGTGGTTTTATATCCCGGTGGCAGATCCCAAAGGAGTGGATATAGGCTAAACTCCGGAACAGCTGATACATGTATAACTGGAACAAAGAAGCGTCACGTAAGGCATGCTTCCCCAGTCAAAACCAGGCAAAACAATTATTTTAACATAAACTCTTACTAGAAAAAAAAAAAACCAAAACCCACACTAAAAGACGACCCTACTGAAGTCATGTTAGTGCTATGAAGATGATCAGGTATTTGCATACCTTGCTCACCCATCCTTTGCCACATACCCACACACATGGTTCAAATTTGTTCCTTTGCCCTTTTTCCAAAATGAGCACAATTCACAAAAGAGTAATTGCGCAGCTTTCCACAGTTATAAATAATGGTAGTCACAGAAAACATACAAGTGTTTCAGTTTGCTTTATAAGTGTTATGGTTTGCTTTCTAAGTTTCAGTTTGCTTTTTAAACCAGCTTCTTCACAGAAAGGAAGGATTTAACCTTATTGAAGAAGAACTTAAAAACCCCATTAAACCCAAATGCCCAACTAAAAAAACCCCAACCACCAAAGAAAACCCTTCTGTTGATGAAGTTATTAACAATATACTAAATGTTGCCCAAGGACTATGGTAGCGTCTCAGCCTGGCTCTTGAGTGAATCTCCCAGTTTCTCTTGGTGAAGGGACAGACTCATTCTAATTTCAAATCTCTGGGCAAAAAGAGAAGGCAGATAAAACCAACTGTTCAGAATAATCTTATGCAAGGCACAGCAAACAAGTATGCTGAGGGAAAGTTTTTTCTTCCCCCTTTCTAACTCCTTAGCAAGGATGCACACTGCAAGGGGAGATGTTACAAAGCCAAGACAGCAACACATGGCAAGACCACAGGACAAGGGGAGGATGTCCACCTGCTGGACCTACACGCATTTGGCTATGAAGAACACAGAGATGCGGGATACAATGAGGGCCATATAGCATATACCATCATAAAGGCAGGGGAAGCCCTGTTTCAAGGTTGACAGCAGGCTGCCTGGTTATTTGTTATCTTTGTTGTGTCCCCCACAAGGTTCCATTTAAAAATCAAGTTACGGGCAGGACACCGAACTGGAGATGCACCTCCACACTTCCCTTTTGTAAGCACATTCTCCACAGTTCACCTTTAACGGTCTGTAAAACCAGGTGCAATTGCTAGATACTGTTATCAGGTCACGTCTGCCACACTTCCACCACTATCTTTGTCTTTACACTTTTTCTCTCCCTTGTTTTTTGTTGTTTGTTTGGCGGTGAAAGGAGGAGTGGGAGGAGAATCATTTGAATTTTGGCTCTAGGTGTTTAGTTTTCGTATTTTTTTCTAAAACCCACAACTCTGCACAAAGAAAAGCAAACAAACATGTTTTCTGATGTTACCTATGTATTGTGCAAGCGTATTGCAAAATAATGCAAAAGATTGCTCTTCTACCTTGGGGAGTCAAGTTGACACATGCGGGATTTAGAAGGTATGTTTTTCATCTCCCCACAGCAAAACCAACATCTCCAAGAATTTCTTCCAGCGTGTTAGAAGTTACAAATAAAAATTAACCAGAAGATTACTAGAAAAGCTTCCCTGCATTTCTTCAACAGTTTCTTTGTTACCTGGGGAAAGCACCTCCCTGCCTGCCTAGGTACCAATCACATGTGAACAAATAGGTACGATCTGCTCTCTGTGTAGCCAAGATGGCTCAGAAATTACAAAAGCTTTAATGACATCAATGTAACATGATCTTTTTAAATACAGAATTATGAGAAAGGCTTGCTTTGCCAGACAAGTAAGAACAGCCTTCCAGTTTACTTGGAATGGGAAGTCCCAAGAATCCAGGAAGATTAAAGAGCTGAAGCAGAATTTTCTCTCAAAGAATAAGTAAGGACAGTTTTTCCCACGTTCTCATAATGAAAAGCAATTAGGACAAGAGTGCTGACAGAAGTTATATGAACAATTTATCAAACGCTAAGCTAACAGATTTTGGGGTACATATAACCTGAAGACACACTGTTCATCAGCAGACCAGTGTGATCTTGCAGTAGAAACTGGATGATATTCTGTGCTTTCTCAAAAGCAGGCTCCAGTGGTGTCTAGTGCAGAGACATGCCATTCACAACTTATGTATATACAGGTGTGGCACAACACTTTGTTACTGGAATAATTACTATTTGTAGCTTTCACCTCTACAACTTTCATCTTTCTCAATCACATTTGTGTTTTTTTCTTAACCCCACCATCATGTGAAGCATTAGACTATTGAAAAGGAGTCTGGAGGAACCAATACGAATCAGGAATATTTGTTGCTTATTTCCATTTAATGTTACCTTGGTGCCATGTTAACAAGTTAATGCCATGTGAAAACGTGATCATTCACTAGCATGTGGACTGTGGTCACCATACTATATGAAATGGAACTACAAGACCCAGATAGGTCCCATTTTTACTGAGAAGAAGGAAATTTTATTCATTAACTATTTTGTAAAAGACAACAGAAGACCCAGACAACTTAGTGAGGTTTTGAGGCTACAATGTGATTACAAGCTACAAGTGGGGAAAAAACTATGACTTTCATGCCCACAACGGAAGCACATGAACTCTTACTCGTATGCCAGGGGAATACAACAGATAAGAGAACATTATTCTTCCTGACCTCCTCTCTCGGTTCCTGACCATTGTACTACTGTGTCTTCATTGCCTCAGGAAACTGAAGCTGCTCATCTGGCTGGTGTCAGGCTCTAAGCTACTTCAAGACCCCAGAACTCCCCTCACACTCAGTCTCCCCCACCAAGCCCAAGATTTAGAGAGTGCTTTAAGCCTCTACCTTCCTTTGCCATAACAATCATTCTAATATCTTTTTTTTTCCCTTGCCTCACAGTGTATATGCTCCTAAAAACTTCAGAAAACCATGTCAGAAAAGACGTATCCACAGAGTTTATTCCTATCATGTTCTTCTTCACCTAACGACATCTATCAGTTACCTACCTTGACATAAATCATAGGGAGTGTCTGTTTGGCCCGACTATAATGTCTGGCAACTCTGTATACTGTTTCAGGAACATAGTCCAGCACCAGGTTGAGGTACACCTCATCTTTCTGAAAGAAAATAAGAGAAGGAAAAAACAAAAAAAAGAATCAGAAATAGATTTGAAGCACGAAGTACAATTAAAACACTCAGAGAAACCAAGAGGGATGAGAAAGTTGTGGACATTTTAAGTACATGTCTTTAGTGGGAGCGTGAACTGCTACCAAACTGTTTTTCCTTCAGGCTTTGCACTTGTGCACTAATACCTGAGTCAAACATATGTTTAAGGTCACATTAATTAATATGGTCTCCAACATGAGCCATTTTCTGATTATAAATGGGGACATGGGTATAATTATTCTGCCTAGTCAATATTTTCATCCGGAGATATTTCAAAGTGACATCTGCATCATTATTTAAAGCAGTCCATTAACTCGCCAGTCCCTTACCCAGCAAAATCCAACAAGTGCAAATTTAAAGAAACCAAACTCACCCCTCAGCAACTACACACACACACAAAGTTTAAAAACCCTGCATCTTTTAGAACTGTTGCTTAGATCTTAGTGAATTCCTAACTATTAAGGGATTAAAAATACATATTAATCATCCATAGAGCATAAGCCAGTGTTAACATTTTTACCTATCCTGTTCATGCATATTTTGCTGTCCCAGTCATCTCCAACTTAAACACACAAACTTAGTCATGGCAAAACAGAACAAGCTGAAGACTTGAGTATCAATTTTGATACCAAGGATCAGGTTAGAGGTTCCATATGAACATAACACAGAGAAACAACAGAAGTAGCTTTATTATAAGGTACTCTGTTACAGAACACATCAGCAAAGGAAAGAAAGAACAAAGAGGAATTAAATGACAAAGTAGCATAATCGCACTGCTTAACTGTGGAACTGGGAATTTTCAGCAGTAAAACAGGTCTTAAAAATACTTCTGGTAATTTAATGCAGTCTTCTGTGCAAATCTCATCAGGACTGTGAATACATTTGTGTTGAGGGGTGGCCGGGTGTGTGTGTAATAATTAACTGTATCAACCTGAAATATTATTTTTGAAAGCTAAGTGAATTAACCAGAAGTAACCTCTCCTGCACTTGCTGTATTAACAACTAGATCTTTCTGTAGAGGAAGACAATACATAGAGACTTTACATGGATAGAAACAGTAGAGAACTCCTAGGTCTTCAACTGGAGTCCCTTGTCAGCAGATCCACTGCCTAGTATCTTAGTACCAAACCTCCTTTAGCTATAGCAAATTAACAACATTACTGTGACTTTAACACAACACTTCAAGCATGGAGTGTGCTGTGTTAATCTCATAGTGCTCGTTTTCCTTACCTATCTCTGTGCTGCCTCAGCAAAGGGCAGAGCTTCCAGCAAGTAAAGACATGGTAACACACAGAAAAATACATGTCTTGAATAGACAATATGCGAAGAACTGCTGGTTTTGTGTGTTGTTAAAGACTCAGAATTCAAGATCTCTGTTCACCATTATTTGTATTTTCAGGACATTTTAATAGCTCTTACCAGTACTTCCTAATAGGTCAAATCCCCTTGCAAGGCCCTGCCTGCATCACTCTTCCCCACAGAAAGATGCTCTTTATTAACATCATTGCTTAAACAACTGTGTTAACAGCACCAGTACTAAACAAATGACAATGGCCCACTAACTTACATCTGTTCTTATGGTACTTCTGCAGCATAGATAAGGAACAGCAGCCTCCAAAACCCTGCCTATGCTGCTGCCTCTCCCAGTGCTATCCTAGGAACTGGGTAACAGCATCAAGGAATCTTGGGACAAGGCTGAAGAGCAAACTTCTTGAAATGGCTGAGGAAAGACAACTACCAGCATTGCAGAGGGAACACCGGATGGCTCTGGAACTCTGCAGATGTGCAAATGTATGCTAAAATACAAGTATGTAGTTCTCTTGCACTTTCCCTCCTGCAACAAGAGAAGTTCTTCTTTCCCTGACTCTTTTAGCCATTAAAAATCCACCACCACCTCTTCTTAGGTCAGAGCTTTCAACATATTAATTATAAAATACAGAAAACCAATGTCCTGAAAAATCAAAGTTAACTTATGCCCTTCTAAAGCAACCTGTACACCAAGAGGGAAGAGTCTCATGAATATGAATTCTGTTTGATCCAGTTGTAGAAACAACCTGATGCGTATGTTGAATGCTTGCCTCTTGGAGGATGGGAAACTTACTGGTAAAAAGTCACTGCACAGAGTACTTTGTGACTGAGGTCAATTTCTTTCATTCAAAGGTTCATGTTCCATATATGAAAAAGATTTACATTAAAGATTGGAGAGAAAAACTAGTAGAAGTGGAATTATAGTGGTTTCATTTTCCTTTCACAGTACAAGAAAAGGGAGACATGTAAACCAGTAATACATCTGATCATTAAAACCTCTCTACATTACTTCACAACAGTGAGTTTTGAGAATTACAGAACTCTATTTAGCTCATACCACCTTTGCTTTCCTTCTCTCTCCATTTTTATTTTTACGTTCTGTTGGAAATGGGACTGATTCAATGGCATGACATAACATAAGCACAAAAAACCTCAAGGTACCAGAATGGCAGAGATGGAAGTTTTGCAACTCTCCCACCAATGCTTGTGAGTTTTGATGCTACCCACAGTACGTGAACAAAGAACATGGGATTTGCATGGTATTGTTCCAGTGTAAGCATGTATCACACATTATTATCTAGAACATGAAGGCACACAAATACCTTACATCAAAACACAAGTTTTGATGTACCATTTGATATACCCAGAACTTTAACATACAACTATAAAGGCAGGGCTTATGGTGTGGGCTATACAAGTAGCTACATACTGCACTCCTATCACAAGTAACTGACACTTCAGAAGTGCTCTAAAAGCCTACTTTCATGAATTAAAGATGATTCAAGTGTTCTGACCTACCTCCTCCTGATGTCACCTGGTGCAAATCTGATAAACACTCAGAATACAATTTTCAAGAGCCCTAATTCTTCTCTGTGAGCATGAACTGGATGAAAATAGCATCTGAGTTACCTGAATTCACCTGAACAAGATTCAGGACAAGCTAGGAAGCAGTCGAGGCCTGACAAGCTCTGAGGATGATGTAAGCTGGTTTGCCTACCTCATGCATTCCTCCTAAACACATATTTTTCCAGTGACCCAGATGTACTGCAATAGGAAACAGGGTCAGCTCCAAGAGCTTGCCAAATGAGGGCAACTGCTTGAAGACCAAGCAGGAGGATCAAGGCTTATCTTTCCCGTACAGAAAACCTCACCACATATTCCACACGACTTGTTCCCACACTGCTATTTCAAAACTACTGGACTGGGAACAAATCAAGGTAACCTCAACGTCAGACGTACCACAACAGAGGAAATGTCCAGAGGAGACTGCATCATATATATGACAGAAAGCAAACACAAGATGTCATTAAGTAACTCGCTTCTCCTTACAGACTTTAGGATTGAACAGATCCCAAAGAAAGAGCTTTCCTCGGCAGGTCACATGTTTACATGCATCCATGTTCTCCTGTGCTTGCTGCTAAGGTTACCATAGAAGCATAGAGCAGCAGGTCTGAAGGGACCTCAAGGATCATCTAGCAAAGCATGACATGTCCCAACATGCTGTCCAGCCAAATCTTAAGACTGTCCAATACTGGGCAGTCCACCACTTCCCTGAGAAGATAACTCCAATGGTTGATTGTTCTCATTGTGAAAAATTTTCCTCTAGCATCCAACCAGAACCTCCCCAGGAATATCTTGTACGCATTGCCCCTGGTGTTTCCATGTGACTCCTTGTAGAAAGGGAGTCTATCTTCTTTGTAGCCATCCTTTAAATACTGGAACATGGTGATAAGGTCCCCCCTGAGCCTTCTTATCTCTGGACTGAACAAACAGTTATCTCAGCCTTTTCTCATGTGGCAGGCTTCCCAGTCCTTGGAGGGTCTTTGTGGCCCTTCTCTGGACCCTCTCCAGCCTGTCCGCATCTTTTTTGTACAGTGGGGACCAAAGCAATATTCAAAGTGTGGCCTGACAAGTGCACAGTAGAATGGGATAATGGCTTCTTTATCTCTGCTGGTGATGCCCTGGTTGATGTAACCCAGCATACTGTTGGCTTTCTTAGCCAACTCCTACGGAGCTGTCCACCAGGACCCCCAAGTCCCTTTCCACAGAGCTGCTCCCCAGCTTGGGCAGATCCCAGCCTGTGCTGCTCTCTTGGATTGTGCTTACCCAGGTTACAATCATGTTCTTTTTAAAACAGGGGGAGCACAGGGCCAGATCCTGAAATACAGGATCAATGTATTATACTGTTGGCTTTCTTAGCCAACTCCTACGGAGCTGTCCACCAGGACCCCCAAGTCCCTTTCCACAGAGCTGCTCCCCAGCTTGGGCAGATCCCAGCCTGTGCTGCTCTCTTGGATTGTGCTTACCCAGGTTACAATCATGTTCTTTTTAAAACAGGGGGAGCACAGGGCCAGATCCTGAAATACAGGATCAATGTATTTCAGCAGTGTGGCTGCAATTGTCTCAAATGTTAGAAGCTGCTTTTTGGCACTTGGCAGATAAATCCTCAGCTGATAAACACTGTTCCAAAAGAAGACGCAGCAAAATAACCACCCCCTTGCCACTGAACTGCTCCGTGCTTCTCAAGAACCAATAATTAAGGCACCGCTTCACTTTGGTTGGAAACGCTTCGTGTAAGAAAATACTAATACAGATTAAGCCACAAGAAGAAACATGGGAAAGTCTAAGATGCAAGAACCAAAACATTCTAGCAACTTCATTTTTTTCTTTGTATCAGAAATAGGAGATAAACCAGGCTACAAGTAAACTACTCTGGCACATGAACATCACACACTACACAGCTGAAGACTGAGCAAAATTGAAAACATTATCCTACCAACAGAGGAAAGATTGCATAGAGGTCTCTAATGTCACTTCCAAAACTCTTCTCCCCTTCAATCCCCACAAGTAACCTGTTTTAAGCACCATCCAGTTGAACTTCACTGTGTCCAATATAAAGCAACAGATACTGAATTCAAAGATT